CTTAGTTTTAAAATCCAGTCGATTCCACTAGTTCCGTTTGAATCCACAGGACACTGACAATCGTATAATCGTATTCATACTATCCTATCTAGCATAGTGATATCTACATTTTATCTACTCACCTATATAATTAGATTCGTTAGTAACAATATTATGTTCGTTATAAGTTCTTGTTGACTATTGATTAATATAGTCATTTCAAATCAATGCTTTAATTAAGTTACCTACTGGTAGGTAGGTACCTAATAACTAGATAAATAATACTTTGTACCTAGATAGTGGATGGGTGGCGGGTGCTTTTATGATTTTCCTGAATTAATGTATCTATATAGGACATAGATAATTAAAACTTGTTTTTAACACCTAATTTAAAAGATAATGGTTTTATGAAAATACAACAAGATTAAAAGACGAAAATAACTTGAAACAACAAATTACTATAAGCATAATAGGTATTAGCGCACACTGCTTAATATACTAATAGGTATATTATATTATGTATAACATATTATATTATATATCAATTAAGTGCATAATATTATATTTATATCATATGTTGTATATCTTTTCTATGGTATACTGGTGTATTAGTTAACATTATTGATTTGATAAATCACCATCATGACAATGTCAACTATTGAACTATACGTCTATAAAAGCTTTGATCTCATCCAATTAAAATAATTTAATAATATATTTTAGCAGCCTGACTGCATAAATGTTCGTTTCTTAATTTCAAGATAACTGCTACAAGAAATTTAGCAGACTTTCCACCATTGCCATGAGCATCATAATATTTGGTTCACAAAAATTGTTTCCGCGGGCGTCGAGACCCACGCATTGATGCACAACTAATTTCCTAATTAATATTGAGCATCCTGCTTGATGCTCAGTAATAAAATAAACTGATTACTTGCTCAAAATCAGTGTGACAACCAAAAACATAATTTATATTTTTTTACGTGGCGTCAGTGGAAAGTCATGGGAGCACCTCATATGATGCTCATGGCCAGGCGCGTAGCTAGAAATTTCAAAGGGGGGGTGTTATTCAAACTTAAGAGGACGCTAAGACGCGTGTGTTGTCTCTGTCTTACACACGCACGACATAACAAATTGTCGTTCACTATTTTCAATAGTGAGCTGTTAGTTTTGATACTAGAGTGAATCGACATATTATCAAACTTTTAGGTAAGAACATTATCTGGGTCTTAGCTTGGGCGATTTTTCGATACTTTCACTTTTGAGAAAAATAAGTGTATGGAAATATTAAAAATGCTCATATCTCGCTTGAAAATTATTTATTATACAAACGTATTACAACTTACCCGTGAATAGATAATAGTTTAGAATAATAGTTCTCTTATATAATATTATTATCAATAAAAAAAAATGAATACATTTTTAAATTAACTTAATGTGTCGACTTTTTGAGGCTAGTGTATCTATTATTTCGTCTGTGGTTACGACTAAATCTCGATGAATATTTATAACAGCTAAGCCATTCGAGCGATTTTCACCAGTTGTATTTCTTAGATATGTTTTCAAGCGTCTTAATGAGGAAAAAGACGTTTCACTGCTTGCAGTTGTTACAGGTAAAGTAGGTAATCAATACTTGTAAAAGTCGATAAACAGTAGGAAATATGTCTTCGTTGCTGTCAAAGAAGGCTTCGGTAACATTTTTAGGATTTTTAGGATTTTTAGGATTTTTATTTTTTATATGTTCATACCATATTGCAAACTCACCAATTGCAGATATTTCATCAGCTTCAATATCTGAAGAATATGTCTTAAGAAGTTCTTTAAATTCGGTATCATTTTTTCATTTGCATTTATTAAACAAGTAAATTGTTTTAATAGTGATTTATGGTTCAAAAATCTGTCATTTAGTTGCTCACAGAAATGATCCAAAAAAGGTACAAAAATCAAAATCCTAAAATAGACTTCCGGTGATTCTGTTGAAATTCTAAAACGATTTGTTCGGTTTATAGCTAGTCGAGGTATTGAAATTGTAATCCCCAATGATAGTTGATACCATAGAGTAACACTCTAATGATGAAGTTGTAAACAAGTTGTAAATACTCTGCATTAAAAGATATCTTGTATCGTACATGAAACGAGTCAACGATAAACTGACACAGAATGGTCTAAAATAATAATTATCTAATTCCGTGTGCCCGTGTCCAGGTTTAAATTATAAAACATAGTACACCACGGTTGAGGGGGGGGGGGGTGTTACTACACCTGTAACACCCCCCCCCCCTGGCTACGCGCCTGCTCATGGCAGTCACTAATCACCAAATCTTAGATCATAACATTATATATTTATAACTCGTAACATCATACACCCTACTATATGATCGAAGCACTAAACTAACTTATTGTTTTTAACTTTAAACATACCTAGTAAAATATTTTTTTTTTTTTCAATAAAGTGCTGATTTTTAATAGGATCTAGGAAAAAAACAATGAATAAATAATGTTTCAAATTAATTGTATAAATATACATAATATATACATATATAATATATGTATATATATATATTATATATAATTCTAATAGCTAAGCATTAAATAACTGCACTATTGCAGTGTATACTGTTCACTAGTACAGTATAATATATTATATATATCAGTTAATAATTAAGCTGTTTATTGAACATGCTGATTAAATTTGAGAAGTTGATAATTGATAATCATTTTAAATTTAATTAAGTACCTACTTACGAGTTACGACCTTCTTTCGCTTCGCTATACGCTCCCACCTCACAATTAAAATGCGGAAAACTCGAATTGTGTCCTGAGATATTTTATTCCCTATTTCCCTAAACAAAACACTTATAATAATTTGTTAATACTCGAATTGCGTTCGCAGTCGCAACAGGTGTGGTTGTCGTAAAATGTTATCTTAAATTATTATATTTATAAATTTATTGTAATATATTATTTACTTACTTAATTTATATTTCACTTGAGTTAAGTCACACAGCAATACAAAAAAAAAAGAAATATTTTAAGAGAGAAAATGCTTTGTTAATTTGTTATACAAGCCTTGCATTTTTTTTAGGGGGGTTGTCATAATTTTGCTTTATCGTTATAAGTTATAACTATTTTGTATACAGAGTGTTTCTGAAATGGATGAGGTAACGAGTATATGAGTACTCAATGTAATGGTCCAATACTCCAATGAAGATTTTTTTGAAATTTTTTTTCGATCTTCTAATCTGGGTTTATACATATTATTTTTAGAACATTATCTGAAATGTAAAAACAAATAGTCAGGTTATATACGAATACGAATCGAGACGTCACATCATTTTCACGCTTGTCGCCGACTAAAAAGAAATGGTGTGGCATATCGATTTGTATGAGAACATTACAAGATAAACAGTGGTGATAGTTATTTGGTGTTATTTAAAATACATGATTAATGAGCACACTAACATTGAATACGCAGAAAGAATATGATTATACCAAAGAATTAAATAATAAAGATGAACTTTTTATGAGGATTAATAATGTAGCTGATATCAATGCGTCGAGCACCAAATTTGTTGGAAAAAACTTTGAGTTAATTACGTCGGATGGATAAGTACATCGAAGTTAACGGGGGTCACATACTCACATTGAACAACTGCAGATAAAAATAGGTTAACAAAATAAAGTGTATTTAATTATGATTATTTCACAATATAACACAACTTAAATGTATGTCAGTCAATTTGATAATCTAAAACTTTGTTAACCCTAATTTTCTTATTATTTTATCATTTTTATTGGTTGACAATGTAAAATAATACGTTAGGTAATTAATTGTGTATGTTAAATGAAAATAAATAAATATCACCATTGTTTATCTTGTAAAATTCAATAATAATTTTAGAGGTACCTAGTACCTACATCAGAGTAGGTAACAGTATACAACATTTTTTTTGAGGCTTTATAGCTAACCTCCAAGTGGTGTGTCCTGAGCGCTGAGTAACGCTAGGCCGAACTAACCCAAACTATATAGTTTTCGACGTTTTCGTTGTTTTTTTTCCCAAATAAATAAGCATGGACCCATCCAATTCATTTACTCAATAAAATATGCAGGGTAGTGGGTACAGGTATTTGACAAAATACTTCTTCGGGACCCAACTACTTATGCCATGTTTTTAATTTGGGACCCAACTCAGGGTTATCCACTTATCCCTAATAAATTAGCGTCGCATCAGCTATATAGAATATAGTCAACCGGTGTAAAATATTTAAATACTTCAAAAAGTATGACAGCATTGACAGGTATAGTGAGGTAGGTACTTGTTAGTTGTTACGAGTGAGTTTACGATCCTCCTAAAATTAAAAGTAAATCATATTATCCTTGTGTCTTAACTACGTAACTATCCAACATTCGAACATAGTTAACAATACAATTAACAATACAATTATTATACCTACCCGGCCATCATAAACGGATTTATCAGAATTTCTTGTTTACAAAATAGGCAGAGAAGTGAATAGTGATATAAGATATTATTATAAATTATAATCGCTATTGACTATTGACTTTTTAATATAATAATATGTTATAGGTACCTATATGGCTATATAGTAATTATTGGTATGTAAATATGTAGTAGTCATTTATATTATAACATATCCCCACCGTGACCAAATATATATTTTGTCATGATTCCCACCATTCTTTGAGAAGACTACTATCAGTCTGTACTATCTCTGATATGTATTTTTATCTAATTAGTATTTATGTTGCACCAACCAATATATATATACCTATAGGTGTGTACTGCAATATGTTCATTTACAGTTTAGTGTATATTCATTTATTTAGTGTTTACTGCATAGACCTTATAGTATAAGGTTTATGATTAACTGTCATAGTATACGTTACATATAATCGCAAAATATTAGTGTAACATTCTAACATAAGCCCATAAGTAAACTTAGTTGTAATACCCGTAAGATTTTGTTTTGTTCATTTAATCAAATTAATAAATATAAAGATGGCAAATCCAAATGTGAAAATTCAATATAATCAGGTAAGTACCTCTTTTATAATCCATAATTGTATACAAATATTTATTACATATTATTTTTATACCTAGCCCCACCTAGGGACATATTTTTAGACTTAATAAGTTTAATTTTATGTTTAATTGGAATAACAATTTGTTTTTATTAATCTTTTAATAAAGCTTAATGATTTAAAAGTTAATAAATTCTAAATTCTAACACTCATAAGGTAACTAACCAGATCTAATTTGCTACCAGAATCCACCCTCAACGTTGAAAATCAAAGCATTTTACTGCTACAGAAGATTTTTTTAAATATTCTATCAACAAATATACCTGACATAGATAATAATTATAATATAGCTATGTGACATTTTTGTTTTTTTGCATTTTTATTTATTTGAGTAATTCTTTATTGTTTTAGATATTTATCAACAACAGTTTTGTAAACTCTGTAAGTGGAAAAACTTTTGCTACAATCAATCCGGCTAATAAAAAGACAATTGCCAATGTTGCTGAAGGAGATAAAGTATGATAATATTACTTAAACCAGTGTAATAATTATTTTTAATAAAAATCTAATTTAATATGAATACAATTTATTATTATTAATTTATGAACATTAATAGTAGTGTCAATAGTGTGTTGGTTAAATTATGTCTAAATGATTGTCTGATCATTTGAAGTCTTTAAAGAACATTAAAGACAGAGATATTACCATCTTATAATATAAGTAATGACTAATAGGTACTAATATATTAATACCCATTACCTATTAGTTATTATCACAATTATTAAAGATAGTGTACCAGCCGTGCCCAACCTTTTTTAATTTGCTGGCCACATTTGAAATTCATATTTATACTGTGGGAGGGCGCGGGACGACCGACGAATAAACTGTACAGTTTTTTCGTTCATTCCGATAAATACAATAATATTATAATATTATATATTTTGTTCACTAAATATTTCCCTGTTAGTCGCGTAGAGTAAGTAGTGTAAGATATTTTATAATTCTTAAAAGCTTATTAAAGTAACATTTTTTTTAAATTATAATTTTTATTTTTATTTATAACACCTAGTACCTACCTATACAAATTTCTAATTTAAAAAAAATTTTCAGGTCGGTTGGAATACTTTTGTGGGTTGTAGGCACGCCTATAGTATACTATTACTATAATCGTCTATAATCGTGATTTTTACTGATAAATAATATGATGTAATTTTTTTTTTTTAAATAACGGAACACTACGTAACTACTTTATTGAAGAGACTAGAAGGGAACCACATGATTACCATTATAATTAGTTTTTACCAAAAACCAGTTTACTACAAATATCTATTATGAAAAAAAAACACAAACAACTCTTTTGAATCTTTATTCTTTATAAATTAATTAGAATGTTATATTTACATTTAAAACAAAGGTTTATGAATAAATTGAATGAAAGTAAAAAAAATTATTGATTATCTTGTTTTACTATAGGAAGATGTTGATTTGGCTGTTAATGCAGCCAGAGCTGCATTTCAACCAACTTCTGAATGGCGTACAATGGACGCATCTGCTCGAGGCAAATTGATCTATAAGTTCTCAGAATTGATGGAAAAAAACAAAATTAATTTGGCAAATTTAGAATCATTAGACAATGGTAAACCGTATACTAGTTCTTTATCAGATGTACAGTTGGCTGTGAAAGTTCTTCAATATTTTGCTGGATTTGCTGATAAAATTCATGGAAAAACTATACCATCAGGTAGGTGGTTATTTATATTATAAATATATGAAGCATGGCTAATTTATTTTTGAAGGGGTAATCACGGGAGGGGTGACTTACAAATGCTTATAAGAAAAAACTGTGACTAAGGATATTTAATATTTTTCATCTGCCTTTGAAACAATATACTAGAAGCCCTCTATTCAATTTTCAAGCTTTTTTAACCCACCCAATAAAATTTTATTGATATTTATAGAATAAAAAACTAAAAAAATTGGAAACTGAAAATGTCCCTAAACAGCTCAAAATAAATCAAAATATTTTGAAAATTTTATCGTGTATAGAAAATGCAAATATAAACAACCAGTAAAAATTGCATGTATCTACGGTCATTTGTTTTAGAGTTACACCAAAAACCAAAATCGATTTTCTCGAAGACAGATTTTGCGTAAAAATTCCTGTTTTTCCTTAATTTTTCTTTTGTTTTTTCACGTCGATTTTGAAAACTACTGGGAAATTTTTACTTTTGACTCCCCAAAGTACCAATACTAGATTCACTTTCCTATCAGAAAAGATACTGTTGAAGAAAATCCAAGCACTTTTACTGTCCTAAAAGGGGATGACAGACACAAAAAACAAATAAAAAAACACACATCATTGTAAAATCAATAAATTTGTCGTTCTACTCAGAATATAAAAGTCATAGTAATCGAAATATCTAGAAGAACCCTACTCCCCATCACCATGAGCGAAAATCAGCTATACCCGGTCAGCCGCCGCTAATATTACATAGGCCTACGCTGTAGGACGATTTGATCTGTTAATTAGTCGTGTACTCGTGTCAAGCCCATTAATATATTAAGAAAAACCTCAAATATGCACTAAAAGCATGATGAACATAAAAATATGATCAAGCAAGTAAAAATCAAACAAATGTGCAAAATTAAATTGTTAAATTTGAATTCTTTGAGTGAAGAAACTAATTTCTATCTTAATCTTCATTAATTTAGATGTTATAAAAAACTATGATAAATGGATAAACATCCGATCTCTACTAATAATATATCTATATGGATAGAGTCCAAGACATATAAAGTCTACATGTAAAATATCTAATGGTATTATAATTATGTAACATAGTAATTACCAATTTCTAAAGATTAAAAATGTTTACTTGCGCTGTTATTAGTTATTATTTGTTAAAATATTACCTTTTATAGATGGACCATATTTTACTTTCACCAAACGTCAACCTATTGGAGTAGTTGGATCAATTATACCATGGAACTATCCAATTGTTTTAGCCATAGTAAAATTAGCACCAGCACTTGCTACTGGATGTACTGTTGTATTAAAACCAGCTGAACAAACTCCTCTTACTGCTTTGTACCTAGCTGCATTATCAAAAGAGGTAAAATTTAAAATATATACATAAATAAATAATTATAATATTCAATATAGGTAATATGAAATATTCTATACCTTTTAGACTGGATTTCCCGATGGAGTCATTAACGTCGTACCTGGGTATGGTCCAACTGCAGGTAAAGCTATATCTAGCCATCCGGATGTAAATAAAGTGACCTTTACTGGATCGACAGAAGTAAACATCAATTATTAAATAACTGTTTCCATGATTCGAATTTAATATAATTTTATTTAAAATAAGGTTGGAAAATTAATTATGGAAGAAGCTGCCAAGTCTAATTTAAAACGTGTTTCATTAGAATTAGGCGGTAAAAGTCCTCTTGTAATATTTGATGATTTTGATGGTAAAATTTTAAAATTTTTTGTGCATTTTTAATTTATAAGTACAAATATACTGTATTATATATTATTATCATACACAGTCGACGAGGCTGCTAAGATTGCTCATGATTCTATATTTGTCAACATGGGTCAAAATTGTTGTGCTGCTTCTAGAACATTTGTTCAAGAAAATATTTATGATGCATTTGTCAAAAAAGCCGCACAATTGGCATCTAATAAGAAAGTTGGAGACCAATTCGATGCCGATACAGAAATATGGCCTTTAGTAAGATTTTAAATTAATAAAAACTGCATATAAAATATTTGATGTAAGAATATTTGTTATGCATACCTACTATTTGTTAACCTACTTTAATAAATCATGTAAAATTATACCAAATATTGTTTTACTTAATTACATTTTCAGGTAAGCGAAGAACAATACAACCAAGTCTTGAGTTATATTGAATCTGGTAAAAAAGAAGGTGCCAAATTAGAAGCTGGTGGATCTAAAGTAGGTGACACAGGTTATTATGTGTACCCTACTGTATTCTCAAACGTGACTGACAATATGAAAATTGCTAGAGAAGAAGTAAATATACAATTTTTTAAACTGATTTTAATGATTTTTTAGAATAGATGATATTAATTAATGTAACAAGTATAATTTTATAATACTAACCAGTAACCACTAAGTACATCTTATATAGAGCATTATGTGTTATTTGCATTTGTTCAGATATTTGGACCAGTTCAGCAGATTATTAAATTCAAAACTTTGGATGAAGTGATAAACCGAGCTAATGATACTAAATATGGATTAGCTGCTGGAATATTAACAAAAAATATGGATACTGCCATGAAGTATATGGACAATATTAATGCTGGTTCAGTTTGGTAATTATTTAACAGTAAATATAAACAAAGTGGTTTTGGTTTTTTGCTGTCTCGCAACCTAGAGTAGCGCATAGGCGTAAATATGGTTTACAATTTGGGATATAACTTATTATATTTGAGAGGTCAGGTAATAGGAAATATTTAGGAGGCTTCAAGAACTTGTTTTTGGTGTTTCCTCCTTTTTACACTTATATTCAAAAGTATACTATTTTATGGTAAACTTATCTATTAGTAAAATATTTTTAAAAAGACCCTAATAATAATATACATAAGAAGAATATTACTTTCAAACATTTATTGCAGGACTCAATATAATTTTCTTATCGCAAACATGTTTCACTTAAATACCCATTTAAATTTAAAATGTATATTGTTTACTTTACACAACACATATTTCTGGCCCGTCAAAATCTCATATAATAAATTATATAAAATGCTAATAAGCTAAATATAAAAAATTATTACAAGGTTATTTTATAAGGTCATAATTCATAATATTATGTCATTCCAATACCAAGAATCAATATTAATATATTACCTATGTTTGTTTATTGGTTAAATTTATAAAGTTGTATCAAGCATTTTGATTTTAAATTTCTAATAGAGTTCAAATATTAAAATGAGTTAACTAGACCTGGTATATCTATTTTATATTTTGTTCATGGTAGTGTAATTATTTATAAAAAGGCATACTTTTTTGGCCTTCGAAAAACTTACATTTTTAGTTTTAATGCACAATATTGTTTATTACAAAAAATATCTTTTGACACGTTGATTTTAACACTATGTAAAGTAGGTAGGTAGGTTTTATTTAGTGGTGTATAATAAAGCAATAATTTAAATAATACTGACACATATAATTCATTGCATTGGCAGTTGTACAACATTAAATAATAATTAATATTAAACAATTAAAAAAAAAAAAAAAAAAAAATGGAAGTTTTCAAGTGTTTATAATAAATTTCAGGATTAACAGTTACCTTGTCTATTCAGCACAAATCACATTTGGAGGATTTAATCAATCTGGACTTGGCAGAGAATTGTAAGAAAATTTAATTCTACATATTTTTATATGACTAATTAATTAAACTACTCTTTTTTTCACAGAGGAGAAGATGGTTTAAAAGAATACTTGGAAATCAAAACTGTCTCAATCAGACAATAAGCATCATACAATATAACAAGCAAATACAAAATATGTATACATCAATATGTAATTTAAATACTCTTTAACTTTATTATTAAAAAGAAGTCTTTGAATTTTTTTTAATTTACTTATTGATATTATCTTATATTTTTTCATTTATTTTATAATTTCAACGCCTGACGCAAATTCTACAATGATACTAGATAAGTAAGATAGCATATACATAAAGACATATTGGTACAATAACCAATGCTGCAATTAGGATTCTTGGGGCCCCGGACAAAAATGACAATGTATGGGGTCTCAGGTCTATGTATTTAATATTTTTTTTATAGGTTACCTATACAAAAATAAATAATGAGGTTATTTTTTTTTAAAAAGTCTAAAAATATAATGCGAAGGCCCACTACCCAGTAACCAGTGACCATTTATAGATAAATATAGATATTATTATGTATAAATAGGAGACCCTTTCTTCGACAACAAATTAGATAGCATAATGAATTATGAAAATAAATATTTTTATTTGATATAAACATTAGATTACAATACAATTATTTAAATATTTAAAATAGATGTGGGGGGCTGTCGGGGCCCCCCGAGCCAACGATTAGTGGCCCTATACAGAGGTATTGCTCCGGCTGATGTTGCGGCCCTGGCATAACAATACTTAAGTTGTATATGAGTAGTAGAGTAAAAATAAGTAATACAAAACATTACAGGTAAAAGAGAACAAGAGAAAAAAGAAACTCATAATTTTATATATATTATAAGATAAATATTACTGTCGACAATGTTATAAGTTATAACTTATAAGTTATAACCAATAGCTAAATTAAGATTCAACTAAAATATATTGAATCAAATACAGTTATCCAAGATATTATTCAGTTTAAATTGTTTCTATTAAAATATTATTTGGTCTAAATATATTGGCCAAATTATTTCTGAACTTTTTATAGACCTTCCAAATGTGGTTGTTCTAAATTTTGTACATTTCTTTATTTTTTAATGAGTTGGAAATCATGTATACTTTCGTAAAATAATCTTGTGAGCCAAAATCATAATTAATTTGATTCAATTTTGAATTTGTCCTAAAGTGGATCTAGACTAAATTTTTATAATCAATAAAGCTAATAGGTAATTTAAAATTTTGATTACGACAGACTATTATACAGTGCAACATCAATTTTTCTAATAATTTGTTACAGGTATTTTTATTAAATAATATTTGATAATTTATGACTGCTAATATTTATATTGAATTTATGGGGAAAGCTGATACATACCTGACTACCTGAGCCCGCCCTTAGTTGGGGCAACAACTCAACTGTGAACCTTAGTTATTCACCTCAACTAATAGTCATAGGGGTTATGAATGGAATACTAGACTGTATTTCACCAACTAACAAACTTAATTGTCCAGTTTATAAATACCTATAACAATAATAACAAGCTTTTCAAATTATTACAACATATTTGAATATTGATAATGCTTGGAATTTACCTTAAATTCTATACATAATGCACATTGTATATATCATAACACCTAAGTCCATTACTTTTCTCTCTTTTTGTTAACTCTTTTTTGACAAGGCTTAACCAAGTAAAATTGTTGTTGTATGCGGATGATTTAAAGATATTTCATAAAATTAGATCACCTACAGATTCCGTCCTACTTCAGAGTGAATTGGACATTTTTACAGGCTGGGTTTCTCATTTAGGTTTATCCTTAAACGTGTAACATTTTTAAAGTGTAACTTTATTTGCTTCTCCAGATCTTTATCTCCAATTTTAACCTCCTACTCTCTTAATGCCATTGAACTTGAACGAGTTTCCTCAGAAAGTTTCCAACATAAGACAAGTTTTAACTCTTTCCTCTCGCCGTGATAAAGCAGACTTAGATTTTTTTAACTCAATTCTAAATGGTTCTTTGGACGTTCCTGATCTCTTTTTTGCCATTCCTTTCAGAGTTCCTTCTCATTCTTCCAGAAAACAATCCCAATTTTATGTTTCAATTCACAAGATTTCTTATGGGCACAATCAGACTTTACATTGTATGCTAAGAGTTGCAAACAACCAATAGTCCTTAGGCCACTATTTCTACTTTACTTTTACTAAAATACTACTATGTTATATGTATACTCTGAATTATGGCTATCTAAATTATTTCTGTATTTAATTATGTAACTATAATCACACCTTACATTTGTAAACTATGTAAAATTGCCGTTTTGGAGTTTAATTCTCATTAATAATATAAAATAATTTACTATTATTTTTAACATGTGAAATATATTAAAGGCTATTTGCCTTTTAAAATTTGTATTGATTTTTGAACACAATTCTGCACTGTAGTACCATATTGTTTAAATTTGAATACTATAATAACAGTTTATAGACAGTTTTTAAGGTATAATTATAATATAGTAATAAGTAATAACGTAAAAACACAACAATTAACACTCAATGTAATATTTATTTTTGGATTATTCACTTTTTCATAGAATTTTTTTCTGGATTATATATTTTATACTACATTGAACTGAATAAATAATAATATATAATTATTCAACTGGTGGTACTCCCAATTCTTCATCAGTCCATTCTGAGGAATCAGGATATGGAAAATCTCCCTATAAATCAGGTATAAAAACATATTATAAAATAATAACATGTCATGTTAGAAATACATACAAGCAAATGCTCAGGTTCAGAGTAACATTTATACAAAACAAATGCCAAAACTATTCCCATTGAAACGTCGGCAATAGTGTTATTCCTCTTATCTTTTGCGGTAAATGGTATTTGGTCACGATAGTGGAAATCATAGTTTAAATCTAATACATAGCTAAAACAAATCAGTAAAATATATACATAATTTGAATTATAAGTCTCATTAGATAGTCTAAGACGGTGCTACACTGGCATGCATTGTCTCTAACTTACAACTCATAACATAGCAAATTGTAAGCTCTAAATAATCTATTTAAGTGATTAATATTGGAGCGAATTGGCCTATAATCAAATTTATAAGTAAGAATATTATCTAGTGAACCTGATTGTTTTTTTTTAGGTTTTAATTTTAAAGCAAGTCATGAGTATCTTAAAATTGTAAATTGCTTGTACATTTTAAAATACTCATAACTTGCTTTAAAATTAAAGCCAAAAAAAAAACCTATCAGGTTCACTAGATAATATTCTTACTTCTAAATTTGAGTATAAGTCAATTCGCTCCAATATTAATCATATCAGAGTTAAATGGATTATTCAGAATGTGCAATTTGCCATGATAAGCGTTTGTAAGATGGAGACAGCGCTTCAGAGCCGTGCTAAGGGGGTGGCAAATTGGGCAAGTGCCCTAGGCCGGTCAAACTTGTAACATTTTAAAGGGTGGCAAATGTTTAAATAGGTATGTTTATTAAGGGCACCAATGAAAGTTAGCACGGCACTGCGGGTGTAGTATCCTCTTAAGAATAATAATTAAATATTACGATTTTTTATGTTTTTAATAAGTTGTAATTATTTTACTTGTCTCAACGGTATTAAGCACATAATACATTTTTTATTCTTTAAAACTGATAAAAACAAAGTAACATAATATTTAGTCATTTGGAGATCATATTATCAATATTATCAATATATTATCCATAAATAATATTGATAAATTAAAATATTACTCATTCTAAACAAAATAGGTAGTTTTAAGGAAGATTTTGGCTACAAGACCACCTAAAACCACCTATATAGGTTGTCTTGAGGCTTGCCAGGTAGATATTTTTTACGAATCCTACGTGTTACAGTGGTTAGTAAAATTAAGGTTGTACGTACTCGGAGTTCAGAGATTCTCTTGGAGCTACCGACTTGGTCCGGGCTGACGACACATGCAGAGGTCGAATCTGTTTTAATAAGCACACATTCCTAGGAACGGTTTTTTTTAGCAAACTTAAGCCGCTCATAGTTTCGGGTGATGAATGTCAATGGTCAGACACGTATAAATTTCAGATAACGAGAAACAAACTTACAACGCAGTATCTCCGCCCGTTCTAGATTCTATGATTTGTACCGACTGTACTTGGTCAGTGGCCAGTACCACAGAAATATACTATACTTATTTTACCTGAAGTCAGTCGTTATAGTCCACCTCGGTAAAGTCGGTCTCTAGCTCTCGCCTCTCTGGTCTACCTTCGTACCATCTTATCAATAAATTGGTTAACCGATTAAAAAATTTTTAAACAGCTGTGAATGAAAAAGCGTGCAAGTACTTTGTTATCTATAGTTCACTCGTGTTGCGTCTATGATCATGAGAGAAACCGAGTTATTCTGTATTTTTGTGATCAGACGACCAGCATCAGTTGCCGTCTTTATTCGTGGTCTTGATAAACCAGTAAACTACTGTGAAACCAGCTATCTCTTATTAACATAGTAACATTCAAGTGGTTCAACTAATTTTACTAGACGGCAGACACTAATGAGTTATGATTAAAAAGTAAATTAGTAAATTCTAGAACCTAAAACTCGTAAAATAATTTTCCATGTCCTCCTTATCGACATCAGAATCGGTTTTGGTGAAAGAACTATTTGTTTCATCCAAAACACCCGTCCAGGTAATTATATATTATAATTTATATTTTATAGTAGGCATGTACATTGTACAAGGTGCTAAAGTACTAGGTAGTTAATATGTAGTCTTAAAGAAGATTATTGCAAACACCATTGCTTGACGGTCAAATATTAGTTTGATGTATACAAATCTACAAATTATTCACTTAATGAAATATTGTATATTTGTGCCAGTGTTAAATATCCCTCTTTAGTCGCATTACTGTCAATACTGTTTAATTTTGTGCAAGCCATAGTTGTAAACTTGTAACTGATGTGTTCATACAACATTTATTGTTATAGTAAAGTTATCATTATTTACTCGTTGAAATTGTGTGTACATAATATATCTTAATATAATAAATTAGTGTACATTTAAAATACCTAATACATCTGAATAAAACAAAGTCATGTTTATCATTATTTTTGCATTACATTTATCTATTAATTTCAAAATTATAAATTTTTACATATTTGGCTTTAGTTATTAAATTTAAAATTTTTTAGTGTCATTTAACACGAGCTGCCAAACATCTAGAATTAGATAATTCAGTTTTAATATTAAACGGTCTTGGAAAAGCCATCAACACAACAATTGATGTTGCATTAAAGCTTCAGGAAAAATTTCACAACACAATCAAATTGGATATACAAACTTCTACTGCTGATATAAAAGGTAAGAGAACCAATATGTTGTATGGAAAGTTTAAGTTATATTTTGTATGGTACTTACTTGGTCATCTCATGCATAATAATATACTCTGTTCAGTGAGAGAACATACCGATTCTCTATTGAAACCGCGGTTAACCTATGACAGGGTGCATGCTATGAAATGGGAGAAGAACTGAGTGTTGTTGGCCCCAGTGACGGCGTGAACTATTTTATTTTATGAGGCAAGTATAAATGCTGGACCACCACCACCTAAATTTTATCACACAGACCCGTGGGGGCTTTGCCCCCACACCCCTAATTCACAATTCTACAACGATAATATTTTTTTGAAAAAATAAAAATAATACGGTCAATGGGGGGGGGCTTCAGCCCTTTAGCCCCCCCCCCCCTGCGAACGCCACTGGCCTGTGGTACTGTAGGGGAGGGTACTGTACTGCCGTGCTAAGCGAAAACAGGATAACTCCATTTTTCGTAAAAATGAGATTTTTGTTACTATAGGTAAAATATTTGGGGCACCTGTAGGTATTTGTCATGCCCGGGTGTGAGATGGCGGCACTTATTCTCCGTGACTTGCCCAAAGAAAATTGCGGCCCGCGACCAAGGAATCGAGCTGGCACCGGCTGCGTCGCGACCGACGCCTTAGACCACTCGGCCACTCCGTCCCCTTGACCATATTTCATATGTGGTTTTTAATATCCGTACCCGGGGGGGTACCACCACCTAATTGGTCGTGAGGCAATTGCCTCATGAAACACCCTATCACGCCGCCACTGGTTGGCCCTAGGCGTGTTATCTCGCTGAACAGAGTATACTTATTCTATATTGCTTTAAATAATTTTTTATTTTAGATATTTTGGAGCCACTAAATGAAGATGATGATTATGAAGCAAGAACACGTTCACTATCTTCTATACATATAAAAATAACTAAATAAAATGTTGTTCGCGTTGCAAGAGTTGGTGAGATGGTTGGGGCTGACGGTCTTCGAAATGTTGGTGCATCTTATTGCCCTGTTGATTTTTACAGTTTTTTTGGCACTACGATTAGATGATGTCGCTTTTACATCAACTATACCAGGTTCCTATGATATATGGATAGTGTTTTCGCCATTATTTGTAGCAGACGCGCTATGCACATACTTTAATGTCATTGTTTTGATACGTCTCTACATTGAAGGTCACATCAAAGAAGCTGTTACAAGAACTGTATGGTCATCAGCCTTATTGTTTGTGTGGTCTTTATTTAAAGTGTTACTTTGCAGAAGACTAGCAGGACTTTCAAATCTGGATTATTCAGAAATTATGTCGCCCATATTCATTGTGTTACAACTTATTGCCATACGTGCGTGTCAGCTACACTAAAAATATAAAATATATGCCCTTGTAAATTTAAATTATAAATAAACAATTTTTTTTACTTTACTCTTGTTGTTGTTTTTTGATAAATCGTAATACTATATTTTGATATAATATTATACTGAAAGTCCCACTGTATTTCTACTTTTTAGTTATGGGGCAATAGAATTTTTTAAGAACTTCACTATTATAATTTATTCATAAAACCCACTTTTATTATTTTATTATTGTATGTTTAAAAATAATTTTAAATAACATGCACAATATTATTTTAGGAACTTGAAAATATGTTGGCAGTTTTCGACTTTGATCAGACAATAGTTGATGGCAATTCTGATATCGTTGCTATTGATTTAATAAGTCCTACCAATCTTGTTCCAAACAGAAAAGATTTTCCAAATAATTGGACTCAATATATGCAACAAGTATTTGATATAATAAAAACTATTGAAATTCCAGCTGAACAAATAATAGATGTTGTATCTTTAATGAGGCCCAATGATGGTATGCCAAAATTAATGAGAGCGCTTTATGAAAACAATGTTGATATTATAGTGGCATCTGATTCAAATTCATTGTTTATTCACAACTGGTTAAAACACAATAAGTTGTCGGATATAGTTTCATGCATTTATACAAATCCAGCAACAATTTCAGATAGTGTTATTAAAATTGAACCTTATGCTGTTCAAAACAAATGCAATTTTTGTACTACAAATATGTGTAAAGGAGCTATTATGAAGGAACATGCATTGAATACAAATAAAAAATATGATAAAATATTATATTTTGGAGATGGTCAAAATGACTTATGCCCAGTTTTGAAATTGACTAAAAATGATATTGCCTTTCCAAGGTTGGGTTACATTTTGGAAAACTTGCTGAAGTCTCATATTACACCAGCAAAAGTAATGCCATGGTGTACAGGTGAAAATATTTATGAGTTCTTAAAGTCTTCTAAGTTAATTTCAGCTTAAATCAATATGTAAGATTGTTTTCTAATAATTATTAGCTTAGCTAACTCTAACAAATATTTATTATGTTGTATAAATTGTAAAATATATTGTGATAACATTATTAAGATATTTACAACTTTTTATTATGTATTTTAAATAAGATGTAAAATACTGTATTTGTTCAGAAATACAACTATTTGTCAATAAATATTTTCAAACTAAGAACCATAAAAATTAAAAATATATTATTTTTAGAAATAATAAATATACCTGTGTTCAATGTTATTTCAATAGTCTAGAGCAGTGGTCTCCAACCTATATTTTTTTTTACGACGGACTGAATCTAAAATACGCTACAGATAGATTATTTAATGGAGATAAAATTTTTCTATTAAATAAATTAAGCTGATCACTGATCACATAAAATATTCAGTGGCAGATATGTTATTTACCAGACTACCTCAATATTAGAGGATATTTTATTTTAGTTTCTTCAATGAACAAATTATTTTTGCAATCATGGTAATAGATTGTTTTATTAAAATTATTTTTACTTTTCTTATGCATAAATTGAGTGAACCTAACTGCTCTTTCTGTAACAATATAAGCTTAAATTATAATAATTTGTTTAAACTACCTGAATACATTAATGTGATGTATAATATATTTGTTAGGTAAACAGTTTAAAATAGATTACTTAATAAAACATTATCTATTGATTGGTAAACAAATCAAATATATGTAATATATATATATATATACAGTAAATTCTAGGTAACTCAAACCTTAATAACTTGAAATTCTTGACATCTCAAACAAATAAAATTCCCATCAATTAACAATAACACTTAGGGCCATTCTTACAATGTCTGGTTAAATGTCGGTTAACTTTAACCAGACACTGTTAGAGTGGCCCTTAATGTTTAATTAATTTTGTTAACTCGAAAACTAATTGGACAAGTTTTCGATATCTGTAATTTTCTTATTTAAATTTAATATCATAAATATGAAGCTTATCATCGTGATTTGTTAACTCAACCATTACAGTTAAATATTGGTTAGTCGAACCTAGATAACTCGATATACAACTTTATGTCGGTAGAATATAATTTAGGTTTAGTTCTTTGCCGTCTGTTTGTTTAATTGTGCACCATGTGTCAGTTTTGTCACAATGTTTTAAACAAGTAAAATCATTACCATTAGGTTATTATGCAAATAAAAAATCCTAGATGATCTCTGAAAATTGGTTGCTAAAAAACGGAAGATGTTACTTTTTATCGATACTTGTACAGTACAACAATATAACTTTGACATTTAATGTTATTCAAGTCCAATTTTTACCTCCCAATGTCTGTATTACGGCCATTAGACCAAAGCATAATTAATAACTATAAAATATATTTTAAAAATGAATGAATAATTTTTAAACATTGTGATAACTCACTATTTTTAGTAAGTTAAATTTTTTTTTTTTTGCTTCCGTAAACTTCGAGTTCCAAGAATCGACTGAATAATAATAAAAAAAAAAAACAAAATTTAAATTTAAATTGAAAAATGTATTCATTATTATCTACCAATAAAAGTACCAAATTTTAACAATAAATTCAACACAAAAAGTGAATAATAATGGTTTATCAAACTAATTTTTAAATAATATATTATTTGATTCTTCAATCAAGATGGCGGCGTAGCAGTTCTAACCAGTACAGCTAAAAATAAAATAATAATCATTAATTACTATTAAAATTAATTTTGAGTAAGTATGATACAATTATTATACCAGAATTGTATTATGAATTTCCAAAACACCTATGGTGAATTCAGAAAAGAGGGAACTATGGCAATAAATAAATAACTTCTGTGTCTGTTATAGTAAAATCTCATATAAAATTATAAGAATTTTTCAACCTAAAACCTACATTTTTTTTATCAATAGATTAAAAAAATATATCATTTTGAAAACAGATTAAAATTACAATTTACATAAAAAAAAAAATATAACCACAATATTTTAAAAATACTTATTTTTAAGAATAAAACAGTTTGTTTATAACTATTGTAAATAGTTTATAAATATTGTATGACATATGTGTTCTCATATGAAAATGTGCCATACCTATTATAACATAATATGGGTAATTGAGAACACAGGTGGATACACACCTAAACAGCTAAATGTAAAAGTTTTAATGTTTTTCATAAATCGGTTTAGATATATGCTAGTATATAGTGATATGAATGTAGTTTAAATATTTTAACATATTTTTAATACATTTAGAGCTATTTATGTAATCTTTAAATACGTTATTATATCATTGTATTATATGTAAATTGTATTTATTTTAGTAAATTTTGTAACAAAAATATAAATATATTGTATCAATTTTAATTTTGCGACTATACAAGATGTTGATTTGATATATTTATAATTTATTCTATATTATTTGTTAGTTGGTAAGATAAATTTATATACATTTAAGGATAGAAATACCAAAATGTCAAAATAATAAACAATGTTTGGTTTCAAAACAGAAATATTACATTTTAATAGGTAATGTTAAACATAAAATATTTTTTTATTTTTTATTAAATATAAAGTTTTACTGATAGTGTTTTTATCCAAACTTACTTATAAGCAATATACAGTTGGAATAAAAATTATAATGAAGTAGAAAGGTGTGTTTCAAATTAATAAATGAAAAATAATTTTTACTTACAGTGTGGTCTTGGTATTCGTAGAGCTTCATTATCATTAATTTTTACTTCATAGTTTTGATCTCTGTGTGTATATTCAACAATTAATACTTTATCTTCTCCAATACACGGGTCATAAAATCCAGGTAACTGACACTAAAAAATATTTTAGACAAAATTGTATATTATGGGTTGGTATCAGTTTTGATTAAATAATGTAGTTTCATAGAATGATATAATATTAAATAATTTGTCGTTGTCATTTAAAAAGTGACCAAGTGAACATTCTTGCAATTTTTTTTAAAATTTAAATTTTATATAACAAAATTATATATTATTTTATCATATTAAAATTTTTTTCACTTTGTCACTTTTTTCATGTTGGCAATTATGTTGTAATTTTAACATGCAAAAATGGACCAAGTACAATAATTAAATAATCATGAAGTACCTAATATAAATTTAAAATTTAAATCAAAATCAACAATCGGTTGTCAGTAGCATCTAACATGTTCCATATTTACCTATGAGAGATAATCTCTACATGCAACAAATAATATAAAATGCTCAATAATTCAATTTTTAATAATGTATATGTAAATGACAAAATACATGATCAAATAAACTTTAAAATTGTATGTAATTAATTATATAATGAATATTTAATGTGTTTTGGTGATTAAAACACATAAAAACTATTGACAAAAATTCTCACAATAGACCCAACTAAGTATAAAAAATTCAAGCGAACAACAAAAGGTTTAAAAAAACAAGTTAAAGCTATTATTCTACATTTAAGACTCTGTCAAACAAAAAGCGTTATTAAAATGTCGCGTTATTCAAGCGCGTGAAAGCACCACACCGACAAGCCATTTACAGCTTTAACAAGTGTTATAACGCGTTTAACAGAGCCTTTACTTGTTTTAGTATTGATTCATTAAAAATATCAATATTGGAGAAAAGTTAAATGGTAAAATGTTATGAATAATTTATTGAGTTTATATTAATGTAAACAGAATAAAAATAATTTGTTATTTTAATGGTCTAACATTATTTATTAATAAATATTTCAATAATTACTTTTGTAGTGGAGTGAAGTATTAATTGTGAATCCTTAACTAAACACTGTAATGGGACTGTTACATCAATAATATTTGGTTGTAATGTATCGTTATTATCAAATGATTCCCCAGATTGGTTTATTAGTTCAGCATTACCATACTTAGCAAATACAATAATTAATCCACGTTTTTCAGTCTCTTCCCTCACTATTCTTTCCATTGTAGCCATCATCAAATTGATAGCCGACAGTGCTTCTTGACGCAGTTCTGCCATTCTAAAACCATAAGTATAATAAATATGAATTTTAAAAACAAAGTCATAATTTTACATCCAACCTTTTTTTATTAATTTCACGTTGTTTGTTAATTTCTCTATTTTTATAATCCTTCATTATTGGATCCAAAATAACATTTTTTGCTACAAACCAGGAAACAATAGGTACAAAAGTCGCATAAAATATTGGAGGTGTAATTACATCATGACTTAGAAGAATTGGAAAAATATATGTTTGACTAGCTCTTACAAACCTAAGATCAAATTAAATAGAAACATTTACTAGATATAATAAATAATCATTCATATATTAATAAGCTTATAGTTTACTTTATTTTAAGAGTAACTCCATTTATTACATCAATTTGGACAGTAGCTGCGAATGTGTTAAGTTTAGATACTTTTTTTTCTACACCATATTCAAGTTTTGAATTCAAGACACCAGCTCTAAAAATATAAGAAAAAAACTAATATACATTGTAAATTGTATTAATTTGATGTATGTTTATACCTTGCATAAATTCTTAGTAACAAGTCTTGTTCGATAAATTTCCAAGTATATAACATACTTATAGCCGGAGCAAGACCAATTTCTAGCTTACACATACAGTAACTTCTTTCAGTATTATGCTCTACTTCAGTTGATAAGCTAGTATGTTTAATTGATGTTAAACGGCCGCCAAGAGATATATAACCAGTAGTTCGGGCTCCTAAACTTGTGCCTAACAATACTCGGCCAACAGGTTTTAACATGCCACTTGATAAATCATTTAAGCTTCCTTCAACTGTTCCAAATATTGTTTTTGTTATCATTCTAAAGTCAATATTATGTATAATAAGCAGCATCAAAATAATTATAAATAAAATATAGTTACTTGAAAATTTTAGCACCCACATGTAGGCCATTTCCAGCAGTAACATCATACTTAACCCATCCATTGGTACTCAAAAGTCTCTTATAGCTACTAGATACTAAAGTTATTTAAAATAAGTAAGTTACTAGATCTGTTTATATATATATATATACATAATATTTTATTAAAAATATATAAATTTGATTGTATACCTGAACCTGAACGCGATGATAAATTTCCACTAAGCACAATTGTGTCACGTAAAGTAATTGGTGCTTCAGTAGACATTGACATAGTCATTGACGATACCTCAATGGTAGGTATATAAAAATAACTATCGTCTCTAAATTAATAAACTAGTTAGTCAATTCATTTATTTGGAGTGTAAGCAAGACATTACTCATTATCAAAATCTAAGTATTGGTTGGGTTCAAAGATATCAGTAGCATCAATTTTAGCAGTAAATACACCTCTAGCATTTGTTCGAAGTCGTAACATTCTTTCTTCTCGATCCCTGACAGAGAATTAAGTTGATAATGTTATGTTCATTGTTATATTTATCTTTATGTTTTCTACCTTGCTAAAGCTTCGTATTCTTCTCGAATTTCTTGTGGGGTTTTTGTTCGATGGACAATTTCCCATCCTTCAGTTTTTAAGCCTTTTACCCCGACACAGTCGTAGATTGCCCTTTGATGTGGGTCTTTCAAAACTAAAAAAATACACATTTAAAAAACAAAATAAAACAAAAACCTTCACAATGGTGATATACCTTCATAAGCCTTTTGAGTTTTATTGAATAATACTTCAGCCTGTTTTTTTTTGTTTTCCTCCACATGTTTATCGGGATGATAGATCTTACTCAATCGTCGATAAGCATACGTAATCTCTTCTGGTGTTGCCTAGAATTTTCAGTATTACAATTATAGTGAAATCTTTAGTAAAAAGCTGCAAAATATATGTGTATTTATCATTGACTAACAGACTTGGGCAGGTTCAATACTGAGTAATAGTCTTCTTCAAGAAAATCGTTTTCCGAATTGGAATCCATGATAGTCACGATTAAAGACTGTAATACAAACAACACTAACGTTGTCCAATAATATCAACAATCATATTTTGAAAACGATGTTAGATCCATTTGCGTAATAGTTTACTTAAGAAACAAAACAATCATGAAAAATAATAATAAACTCAAAATCTGTATTATAACTTATTACATATTATGTAAATTTTTTTTTTAAAATGATAACAGTTTTCCAATCGTTTCTATTCGGTCTTGACGTGCTTAAGGTTATCATGGAACAATAAAAATAATAATTTATGTGGACAATATATTCTTTAGTTCCGCGAAACATTTATTCCAACCATCTTTTGCTCTAAAAAAGTTCGGAACAAATAACTTTTAAAGCAATTAAAATTTTAAGGAAAAAGTGGTTGAAATAAATGTTTTTTGGAACAAATAATTATTGGAAGAAAGTTTAATGGAAAGAAGGTCATCATAATTATAAGGTCTTTGATTGAAATAATATAATACAATTTTAGCGGAACAAATGGAACAAAACGATTTTGGGAACTATTATTCATTACTTGACACCACTTTTTCTAGCCACTTTTTTTTTGGACTTCAATTTTTTGACGAAAATAATGATGGTGAAATCAGAATTTGGGGCTCGGACTTAGTTTTGAAGTTCTAACTAATCGAAGTTTTAACTTCTTACTGCTGGCCGCGTAGTCACCCGATCTCTAAAATCTATGAACAAAATATGCTTTTGTTAATAAGTTATCATCATGACAACGAAAACCGGAAAACATTACAAAAATAGGTCAGAAAAAAAAAAAACTAATATTATGTTAAAATTTAAAAAAAAAACCCTAGAGTTTATAGTATAGAAAATACTAATTCAAACAATCGGTTAAAATTTCAAATATCTATAGGTACCTACCTACGCAGTTAATGGTTATACGATTTTGATTTAACGAAAAAGCAAAATCAATTTCATTGATAACTGATTTTGAGTAAAAATTCCGGTATTTTTGCTTGGCCCTATGAATAGTTTTTCTCAACGCTTTTGAAAACTCCTGGGAATTTTCCATTTTTACGTCCTTATGTATTATAATTGTTTATAAAGTATCCAAAGCCGTATCCAGAAATTTTTGTATTGATTTTAAAATATGATGTGTGTTTTTTATATTTATCTTTTTCTTCTTTTTGTGGCTGTATACGCGATAATTGGTCGAAATTATGTTTCGATTTTTAACTTCAGTATCTTGTCAATGGGAAAGTTAATCTAGATATTGCATTGGGGAGGTCAAAATGTCCAGTAATTTTCAAAAGTGCAGAGAAAAACAAAAAAATTAAAGAAAACCGGGAATTTTTATACAAAATTGGTTTGTTACAACGCCATGTAATATAACTTTTCCCGATATGTTTTAGAACGTACATGTAACCCTCAAAACATAATTTGGGGTGTTTTTTATTGGAATTCCATTATTGTATGTAAAAATGTAAAATATGATACATGGTTATAAATTATAATGTTAATACAACTCTGGAGATAGATGTGTGAAAGTTATGTGACTGAAAGAAGTTTATAAAACAGTTAATATCCCAAAAACTGGGAATTTCCTTCAGTAGAATGCCAACAAATGCTTAAATTAAATAAAAACATGGTATTTTGTGAGTAAACTTACCTACATATTATCTTGAAATCAATTGATTTATGCCTTACACCTAGATATGTATAATGTTTAATGTATTGATCTAGGTATATATACAAAGTGTTCACGCTAAGAGGTACCACTCTGAATATCTCAGATGGGTGACATTGTATTGAAATGGGTTTTTCGGGAGGTGATAGGGAGCACTTAAATACATATTTTTAGACCAGTTTCCAATTTTTAGCTCACTCGGTACATGCGCAAGCGCAATATATGACTATTACTTTTTTTAAAGGGCAACTCCAGTAATTTTCTTTCTGCAGGTTCGGGTAGAGTATTTTTTTTTTAACATTTATTGTATAAAAAGTTTATTTCTATTTTAAAAACTGACCGAAGGCGTCGGTTGCGACGCTCACCGTCGCCGGTTCGAGGTCGGCTACTATCTGCCATGCCAGGGTGCGGGATGACGGCCTCTCTCTCCAGACACCGTGACTGCCAAAAAAAAATGCCGCCCGTAGCCGACGGTGCTCGTCGCTATCGACGCCTTAGTCAGCTCGGCCACTCCATCCCCCATTAAACATTTATTTGGCACTTATTGTATTATTTCCAGTGGTTATAAATGAAAATTGCATTTAACACATATTATGCATAAATCCAATTTTTGACTTACCTACTCTAACTTGGTCAGTTTTGAAAATAGAAAAAACTTTTAATACAATAAATGTTTAAAAAAAATACTCTACCCGAACCTGCAGAAAAAAACTGGGGTTGCCCTTTAAAAAAAAGTAAGTCGTATTGCGCATACGCGTACCTACCGAGTGAGCTAAAAATTGGAAACTGGTCTGAAAATATGTATTTAAGTGCTCCTTATCACCTCCAGAAAAACCCATTTCAATACAATGTCACCCATCTGAGATATTCAGCGGTACCTCTTAACGTGAACACACTGTATACTTTGTACGGGGTGATTTTTTTTTAAATGTATGAAAGACATATATAATATATTAAGTACCATTAATTTGCTTTATATATTTATTAATTTTGTTTTACTTTTTTTGATGTGAAAATATCTTATTTCCTTGGGTTATTTTTCCAGTATATTTTTTTTCAGTGGATTTTTTTAATACATTCAAATAAACATACCTACATCATAATTTATGCCACGCCATAGTTAGAGAAAAATAATAATATATATAATAGATATAAACATTCATCACTTAAGGTGACTATGTATTTTCGATATTTTTTAAATTGTATATAATATAAACAACTTATGAGCAACCCCTTGTGGCTTGTATTCAATTTTCCAACTTTTTGACCAAGCAATAAAAAATATCGACAGACAGGTATAAAGTATAAAAAGCTACATAAAATCAAAAATATCGTAATATGTCTAAAGCAGCTCAAAAAGTAGACGGTATCTACTATTATTTTTTTTCCAATTACCTTATATTTATACTTGATAATTGATATCAAATTGGTATTGTGTAAAAATTCCCCTTTTCCCTTAATTTTTTGTTTCTTTTTCCCAATTATTTATTTATTTTATTAATTTATTAAATAATATTTATTCTTAAGATTACTCTAGACCCGCATGTATTGTCTCCGTCTTACAAATGTACAACATACCAAAAACTGTTTTGGGGTGGAAAGAACCTGTAACGTATGTTACATCATTACGTTTATTTTATAAGCATCATAATATGCACATTAGGCATATTATGTGCTGACTATAATAATATATTAAGCCCCTCCGGTTTAGGTGACACATATATATTTTATGATTGTAAGGCTCTGGCCAATATCCCTATGTAAGAGAATACCAGTTCTCCGCGAGTCCATCACGTGCACCTGAACTCCGTACAATCCTACATTTTTGGTAACTTTGTTCGTAAATTGTAAGTTATAATACATAATTTGTTTATATTAATAATAATTTAGATCAATCGTTATTTATTTGTAATATTAAGATCCTAATACCATTCGTGCTCCCGAGCTACGGTAAAAATATATTCAAAAGAATTAATTTCTTCTCTGAATATCTTATATTTAACGGGCCATCCCCGACCACGTTACATATTGGTGGAGGTGCCGAAGCTCTTAAGTAGTTGAAGTTACAGATATTTACGATTGGTTTAGATTTTTATTTTGTTATTAGTTATTAAGTTTGGTTAATTGAAGCATAGGAAAATAATAAAATTAAAGTGTAGCCGTGTTAAGAATAATTGAGATTTTTTTTTATTATTTAAGATTAATGATATACATGATATATATTAAGTATTAAGAATAAGAGTAAAAGAATTGAAAGAATTACGGGATTAGAAAATTTATGTATAGGTACCTTATAATTTTAATTTTAATTTAATTTTTTTTTTGGATATTTACGAGATTTTGTGTTCTAAGAATAGGAGTAAATTACATATAGGGGTTATGTTATCAGAGAAATTATATAGTAAAAATAAAAATTAGGTAATTGAATTTTATTTGGATAGTTACGAGATTTTAAGTTTTAAGAATAGGAGTAAATTACATATAGGGGTTATGTTATCAGAGAAATTATATAGTAAAAATAAAAATTAGGTAATTGAATTTTATTTGGATAGTTACGAGATTTTAAGTTTTAAGAATAGGAGTAAATTACATATTAGTACATAATAGAGAAATTATAAGACAATTATTTTATTGTAAGTGAACATATTAAGCAATGTTGCGATAAATAAAAGTATTTAATGGACAACAAGTTTTACATAAAACGTAACGTGAACAACCAAATAACAAAAGTGGATAGAACAAATATATTATATCTGAATGAAACTTTTAATTCCGAAATAAACGAAATTAATCTAATAAATTTATTACGGCAAATCGAAGAAGTCGATTTAGGTAACTATTTTTCAAATTCCAGGTTTGGAAAGATACCTCTGTCAGCAAAACTTGTTCAAAAATTTACACTGTGCTCTCTATACGTAGTTGAGACTTTAGAAAAGGAAGATTTTAACCAATTACTAGCACAAAAGAAATTTGAATTTATAATTTCCCAGCGAACAGTTGCGTGGATAAATTTATTAAATAAATCGGAAATAGTGGGTTTCTTAGAATTTTGTAATATACATAGTGACATTTCATCGACAATTAATGAATTAAGAAATCTTGCAAAATCAGCATTAAAAAGTTTTAGGAACGACGAAGACGACGCTGAGGATAGCTTAAACGAAACAGAATTAACTTTTACAGAGGACAATTTACAAAATAGTGATCAAAATTTATTGAACGTAACTGTTGTTGAAGACGATTCTAATAAAAAAAAAACTGAACCAGAAAATATAGATATTAAAAAAAATATATTAACAGCAGATCCTATAAATTTCAAGGTAGAAACCCACAATAATA